CAGAATTCGGGCCCTGGACTGTAACGAAATTTTTAAAAAAGAGACAATAATAATTTTAGAACACGTCCATAAAACAATTAAGTACTAGTTGATTAAAAAGAAGTATAATAGTATTAATATTTATTAAATTATATTTTATCCTCCTAGCATACCTATGCTTATTTAATTTCTTGGTCCACTTGTTTCGTCAAACTGCCTAAATTCATTTTTATTTTTAATCAAATCGGTGTGATAAAGATGAGAAGTTGTTAAAACGTTATTTCGGGAGAGTTGTATTGAGTGTTATTGCACCCAACAACCACGCAATTATGCTATCATTCTCGTGTTGACATTTTTTCGGCGATTCATCATTTGAAATTGTCACAACATAACGCGTCGCCCAGTTTGGGTCCTTTGTCACTTAATTTTTACTACCCGAAACAGCGTTATATCACACAAACTTCGTACCTGAGAATTTTATAGTTTCAATAACTGCACGAGTAAAAACTAAAATACTTAAATATATTACAGAGCCACGATTTTAATATTATATCAATGCAATCAATACCAACAGTAACTGAGACTGCGTGAAGTACAGACCCGGAAAGTTGTGATTTCTGCCGTACCGAGCGTTGCTGTCAACATTTTAAATATCAACTGAAATGATTTCATCTATAACCGATAAAATCTGAGTTTAGAAAATAATTTTTGCATTATCAAATAATAAATTAAACATAAATAACAATTTACCTACGTACAAAAACTCACAATATGGCTACTTGGTTCATATTTGATAATGTTATTCAACGGTATAATTAGTTTATTAATTATTGTCAGTCATTTAGCATAGTCATCCGCGAGCAATTAAAAATCATCAAAACATCCACCCAAATTGATCAATTTAACTGTTTTAACTACTTTTTTCTTTATCCATTTTATTCTTTGTTTCTTAATATGTTAAAATTATTTTTCACGAATATTGAGTAAATTTTGCTTCCAAGTAAAAAGCTAATGGAGCGTTAGTTCGTTGGAACGTTTGGATAATTCTAAATAACAACAAATCTAATAAACAAGTTAAAACAACATTCAAAATATTTTATCTTCAAATGACAACAGAACAATAATTTGAGTCAAACTTGATATTTTATAACCGCAATAAAACTAAATTACCCCAAGTTTAGATTTCCTATATTATAGAATTTATGAGATACCTATTTCTATTTATTGCCTACGTCCTAAATCCTAACCACTATATGCATCTAATGCAATTAAATAGAAGACTAAATATGCAATAAAAAAACTATATGCAATTAAATAGAAGATTAAATATAAAACTAGGGCATAAAATATTAATAAGCCCAATGTAAATTCATGTTTAATAACATAAAACGGAATGTTTTTTTAAATCTTAAGAATGGACGCCGCGCGCTGCCTGCTGTATTTCAGAAGCTATTTGCCATATATATTTAGAAAAAATGCAATAAGTAGACCGACCAAGAGATATCGCTGGAAATTAGTTTCAAGTTCGAAAAATGCCCACTAGAGAGCGCATTTGTGATAGATAATTAAAAAACGTGAAAACGTTTCTCAAAAATATGCACGTGAAGAGATATTTTAAATATTGCTATTATAATCAATGAAAAATTTGAAATTGTCTTGGTGAAGCGTATTTTTCTCTATCTCTCAAGTGGTTGGGGAAGACATACATTTATTAAAGGATAACTTTATGAATTAAACAAATCAAGGCTGGTTTAAAATAGCTTTTTATTCTTAATAATTGGCTAATTAATACTTTGTTTCCATATATTCTGCCGTGATAGCTAGAGGGCATGCATAGTGTTTGACATCACATCAATGAACCGCATCAGTGCATAGTGAGTACATCATGGGGCTTTATTTAGAGTCGCTATGGACCATTTTTGTAGTCATTTGGAATACGAAACGGTTAGGCAAGTGTTATTCGATTCTGTGTTTCTTATTAATATGGACAGACACAGTGAAGCAGAAATAAATTGAAGAAGTGAAAATTACAGAAATGAAAATGACTGGTGGCTCAAAATAATTTATATTCCGAATCACCAGTCTTAAATATAAAATGTCGTTGGTCTAAAGTAAGTTAAAAATGATATTCAGAGTCAGTAAAATTCTACTCATTTCGAAGTATTTGAATTCGAAAGTATATAATAATTAATTAACTACAAACATATACAACAAACAAAAATACATACAGTATACACACAAAGTACAAATTTAGCAATAAAAGTAATAAAAGCATAACGATCTACATTATCCCACTCACTCAACATCATTAATTTTAAATGTATTGAATTAAATAATGACCTATGTCCAAAATGTAAAACTAAACTCTAACACCCCTATCTTTTTTTTTTCAAAACTTTCAAACAAACTTTCAACAAAAATCTCAAATATCTAAAACCTAGAGCATTAATAGACCTTACAGTTGGGGATTGGAACCTTTGGTGTTACAACAACAAAATAAAACACTAATTCACCACAATACATCAAAATACTTTTAATTTTGCACTAAACGCGCATTTCGCTAACTATGTTAGCATTATCAGCAGATGATGCTAACAGGGTTAGCGAAAAATACCTAAAATGTATTGTCCAATATTTTAATACCACATATTTAGAAAAGAAACACCAAAAAAAAAAGAAAATACAAGATTAAGCAGGAACGCTTTTATCATAAAACGGTAAAAAATAAAATAGCTGAAAGTGTTAGGCTACTCCATACATTACTAAACCGTAAACAATGTGGATGCCGGCTAATTCAGCAAAATCTGGCACCATTATATATTACAGTAACGCAAACAACAGCTCCAAAATTCATGTTTCAATTTTAACAGATGCAAATAATATGCAGATCGATGTTTTTTGCTCCCGTTTCTAGTATGTATTTTTACGATAAACAATGGTTTTTTCAACTGACAACAATGGGATTACTTATAACAGTTACATTTATTCCTGCTATTAACAAATAATACCGTATAATCGAAAAAAAACACGTCAAAGTGGCTAGGGAATGATAATCATAGACATCACCCTATATAATTTTACATATAAATATTGATGATGACAGCGATTTCCAAGTTAACTCTCGCTGTTTTTCTTTTCAACTGTATTGTTTAATTCGATATTATAATGTGCATAATGAGTATAATAAATTTACTTGAAATTAAATTGTAAATTAATGCTGTTATTAATTTGTATTTTTTGTAATAATTGTATTTGATCAATCAATTAGTCACATTTTTTATGTCAATATACGAAATAGAAATTATTTACCTCATTCGTCTAAAAATAAATAAGCATTCTCTCCTTAGGTAAATAAACAAAAATTTTATTTTGCTAAAAAAATAATTGAAGCTACATTGATTCTGCGCGCCGCCTGTTGGTGTTAATGCGAGATACTTTCCAATATAATTCAGCAACTGGCTAATCAATTAGATTTTTTTTAGACAACTAAAGTATTATGGTAAATGTCAATAATCGTCATTTCCAAGCCAACTAAACGACTTTTTTCAATCATACGAAATTATCCAGTATATACCGGGTGCATCTCAAAAGTGGCTTACCCCTATAACTTTTTTATTTTTTGAGATAAAGAAACGAGATTTGGTATGTTAGTATATGATACAAATTAGGATTTATTGACGGTATATAATTGTTTTTGATCACTTCCTGTTTCACCGGAAATGGCTACAACTTTTGATTTTTAAATGGCACCCTCGGTATATTTTTACCTCGATTTTTACTTTATTCGACAGAAAGTGACATTCTGAATAGAATGACATAGCATATGTCAACTTTTGTCATTTTTACTTAAAAAAATCGTATTTTAAATTTCAATCTAAAGTGCCATGGCTGTGTTAAAAACACTAATTTTTAATGAAGGACCCTTGGAAAATAGATTTAATCATCTAATGTTTCTCGTGTCTTGTTCTGGCCGGTTAAAAGATGCCCAAATCGTATTTTTAATCATATCTCAATTTTTTCGACGAGGGTGGCTCATTAGCATATTTAGAAAAAGCATTTTTTTACGAATAATTTGATACCACACACTTGGTATTTCGAGTCAAATTGTCGTTATGAACCCCATGTTATTTCAAATAAACCATATGCGAAAATGTCAAAAGTTGACATATGATATGCCATTCTATTCAGAGTGTCATTTGCTATCGAAGAAAGTAAAAATATACCGAGGTGCCATTTAAAAATCAAAAATTGTAGTAATTTCCGGTGAAACAGGAAGTGATCAAAAACAATTAAATACGTCAATCAATCCTAATTTATGTCACATATATGTATCTGAAAAAAAAAGTTATAGGGGTGAGCCACTTTGAGACGCACCCGGTATAAAAGAATTTTTATTTTTGTTGTTTATTCTATATTTAACACGAATTAATTTTCAATATACAGGGTGAGTCTTAAATAAGTGCAAATATTTTCAGGGCTGGTAGATTTCGATAAAAGAAACAGATTCATTTTTTAACATTTTTCAAATAATTCCAAAATAACCCAGATATTTTTGAAAATTTTAAAAAAAATTGATTCTTGGCAATGGCAACACTGTCGCTTTCAGATCCACACCGTCTTCGATATGCCTTCGCTGGCCGAATTACAGAAAATAAGTGTTTTATGCGTTGGCCGAAAAACGATTGGTGTCTCCACCGTACAGCACTTAAGGGGAAAATCAAATCAGCCTTGTCACGAAGTCGCCCATTCGGTTGCCTATCTTCCCAATTCTTTCAATCAACGATAAAATGCTATTCTAAAATTGAATGCCGGTAAAATGTTTTCAAATGTATTCCCAAATAAAAACACATATATTAATGTATATAAAAAAATGTGCGCATTTAATCTAAATAAACTTTACCGACCTGCACCAAAGCTAAAAAGCAACTAGCCAAATCTACAAGCAGCTATATCAAAAAATAAAACCAAAAGTCTTTGCGAAGCTCCAACACCAAATAAATATTTTTTATAAGAATACATACGTCATGACAAGAAGCATCATATCTTAAGAACTGGTTGATCCCAACCGAGTCAGCCGGCGTTCTGTGAAAAGGAAAGGAGGTTAATTGTTGTAATACTATACAATACAGTATAATTAGTACATCATTATTTTCAAATCCAATACATACTTTATGTTAAACGATATACTGGCCCAAGAAAGCTGCATATTCTGTTGGTATTTAATTACAGTCAGTTTATAACAAAGTGTAGAATAATTTAAAAAATAAATCATTTAGAATATTTTGAAATTTTAACTCAACAATACTTTACTATAAAATTTCAGTTTATGGTATAAAGTTAAGAAAATTTCAATTGTCGGTAAAATATATTAAAAAAATATAATTAAATAAAGACTACTAAAACTGCGGCCAAACAACTAAAACAATGAATAAAAAAACATATTAAAATATTACATAGAAGACAGAAAATGTTTCCATTTCATTTTAATTTATTTAATTTTTTTTAGTTAATAAAATTTAAATACATATTCTGATTTTCCATTTATACGTAATTCGTAAAGAGTCTCAAGATACAACTAGACATTTCTGAATTACTCATATTTAAAATAAGGAAATAATGTATACCTAATTATTTGATACCAAAACAATATGTAGATTTTTCGGACCACTGTGCAAATATAAAACTAAAACACAATGTTTGTTATTAATAGTAATGTTATACACAGCAAAGTACACAGGTTATTGACTACAATCTTATATGGAAAATAATCACATAGTAAAGCAGTTTCTCTATCAAAACCTTTCGTTAAAAATTAATTTGAATTTGAATATGCTCGATACCGATCTTCTGCGCATGCATTGTTGTTTTTTCTACATATAATGTCAAACAGTAATAATTTGTTGAGATCCATGGTTATTTTAAGTTTGCTTAAATAAAATTCATAACTTTGTAATATATGATAAGCACATAGTAAGTGCATGAAAAATATGGGTGTAAACCGCAAATTATTAAAAATATGCATATTACATACTAAATAACAGTTGAAAAGTTTTGTAAAATCTACCAGAAAAATTGATAATGTACATACAGGATGTGCCAATGAAAAAATCGGAGATTCAAATCGGATATCAGTTTCAATTATTTTACATTATACACCTAATATTATTTATAAATTAATTAAATAACGTTTTCCTTTAGTACATATTTATTTTAAATTGCAACTAGAGAAGCAATTTAATTTGAGATTTTACAGGATTTTCAAAAATATAAAAAAAACTGACTAGAGAGTAAATACACACATATTTCTACCAAGACCAAGGAAATGACGTTAAGAAATGTTTGAAGAATAATAAACCCTTTTCCTCGTTGCCTAAGCTGATTTAAATGCCACTCGTGTAGGTACGACTTTTTGCATGTAATTATGTTCGACTTTCATATTCCAGCACACCGGATTGCCTAGACTCCCCTAAGGACCTCGTACGAACTAAATATATGTAATCCCATAAGCCAGTAATTTCCACTACAAATAACTTTTAGTTTGAAACTTATTACAATTACATAAATTCATGAATTCAAATTTTTGCATGTAATATTACGCTTTCACTAACTTATTCTCATAAAAGATATGAAGCGTAAAATGAAAATCGCATAGAGAATTATAAAGTATAATAAACTTTTTTTAAATATATTAGAATGTATTTGGAAGGATAGATTTATCATAATATATTTCAAAAGTTCGTCTACATAAAAGAGCTTCCCAAGTCTGTCGTCAATGCCTCTGAGTCTTTATAGTAAAATCTCACAATATAATTATTTACTACTTTAAATAAAAAATTGTTAAACTTTAGGCTGTATATATTTCAATAACTGAAACAAAATCAGACGCAAAGCATTATGCAAAATCACAAAATACGTAGGATGCCTTTTAAGTTTTTACAATCACTTGTTTCTTCGGTTGTACTCGCAAGCATTCCATTAGAGAATCGAAGAACTATTAATGCCGAATGGTATACAACAATTTGTTTGCCAACTGTCTTCGATGAAATAAGGAAAAATATCAAAAAACGTCGCATCATTCTTCATCACGACAATGCCAGCTCCCATAAAGCACGTCAAACAATTGAATATTTGAAGGAGAAAAACATCGAATTAATGTCTCATTGCCTGTATTCGCCCGATTTATCGCCTAATGACATTTTTATTGAGCATATGCAAAAATGTGTAGACCTTAAGGGCGAATATTTCGAAAAGCAATAAAATATTTTGTTTCGAACTTGTTCGTTTCTGTTTCACCTTTTGTAAAAACTTAAAAGGTAACCTACGTACGTTAATAAAATGGCGACTGCACAGATTTGGGTATTGCCATAGAGACGAATATTTGTATATTCGTTTAAATATTTGCTAAATTATGTTATTGGATATTTAAGGCGGAAAGAATAGTTTCCAAGATGGAGGTGGAAAATAAAGACGGAACATAACTTTTAATAAAGTACAGGGTGAGTCAACGATAGAGTAAACTCCATTATCTCATTTGTTTCGAGGTTTACAAAAAATATTAAATATAAAAGTTATAGGAACGGTTAGGATACACATTTTAAAATTATTATAGAGTATACAGGGTGCTCCAAAAAAGTGTGACCAATATAACATATGTTTTTTTTAAATGGAATACCCTATTTTTTATTTTAGTTTTAGATTCTGCGTAAAATTCCATAACTTTTTTGTATATAATGTTATATACCTAAAATTAATAGTTTCTGTAATATTTAAATTTGTTTAAACAAATGTTAGATTGCAGTGTGATAAAAAATTGTCAGTAATGGCATTGTTTCTGAAATTGGAGAACCAAAATTTGGTAGGAGAATTTAATAGAGATATAGAAAAAGACCTATGTAAAGATATTTTAGTTAGATGCTACAGGGTGTTCAAAATATATTTATGAATTTCAACTACTTAAAATTAAGAAATTTCAAATTTTTTAAATGGTACACCCTATATATTATCATTTTTTCTGATAGATTTTACAAAACTCTTACCTTGTATACTCTATAATAATTTTAAAATGTGTATCTTAACCTTCCCTACAACTTTTATATTTAAATTTTTTTTGTAAACCTCGAAACAAATGAGATAATGGACTTCACTCTATCGTTGACTCACCCTGTACATTTATTAGATATAATGCCATATACCTTCTTGTTAATTTGGCAAAGATGCATTTTGCTTTTTATGTACTTTGTAAGAATTTCTTTAGAACTTCGGCAAAAAATTTTGAAATTCTACTAAAGAAAGTGGAGTCTCACAATGCCAAATTAAAATTAATTAAGTTTAACAAGTTATTCCTGAAATTGAGATCTGAGGTTCTTTATTTTTCATAAGTTCTAAAACGGAACAATATGTAGTTAATTCTTCGTGTATTCTGTTCGAAGCGTTATCCTCATGCTGCGTGTGTTCTGTTCGAAGCGTTATTCTGTTAAACAAGACACCTCGTCCCTGCGTTAATAACAAGTTCATTTTCAGACAAATTTAAAAATTCCATTGTGGTTTCGTTCGATCAGTTCATTTTTAATGCACTGAACACGAAACGTAGCTACGGTACACTACTACTGTCTGATAACGTCGCGTACGAATATGTAATGAGAGGTCTTTGCTTATTCTGCAAATATTTGCACTTTTGATTTGTGGTCATTTACAGACTTCGAGTCGAAAATATTTCTATTTGTATTTGATTTGGCAGTTTGAATATTATGTATAACAAAATATATTCCAAAAACTCTATAAATCATACAACCATTAAAAAAAATTCAAGCAGCTCCGATAGTCGAATCTTTATTTAAAAAGAAAAGAATCCTTTATTTTGAATTTTGTAAATTTTTCACATTTCCCAGGACGCTGCGCTAAAATGGCGAGCATATCTCACACAAATTAACTAAAAATGTTATTCAATATACGACCACACTTTTGAGCCAATAAAATCGAATTGGTGGCCGCACAACGTGCACTAAAACGCCCTCTTTCTCTTGTTTTATCGCTCCATTGCGAAACACAAACTTTTATTAACATTGTAGATAGACTGACATTTCCTTTTGAACTTTACAGCTCTATCTATTGTCTGGAATTTTTAACGCAGGTCCTGTTTCTTTTTAAAGGGCTTCGCCTTTAAAATGTAATGGAATAGTATTTTGAATTCTGAAAAAATATTTAATTTTATATTGTCTCGTAGACTTGATATAAAATACTAGGAACAGTGATGTTGAACATCATGGTATGGCCAAATGAGTCAAAACCAACCGAGCGTAACGCTAGTTTGTCACGCCTACTCGATGCCAACTTCACCCCTGTATAAAAGCTCAAATGTAGATACTAGTTTAGTTTTAATCATCTGCTGATGATGCTAACATGGTTAGCAAAACGCGCGTCCAGTGCAAAAGTGAAGTGTTTTGGTTCTGGTGAATTAGTGTTTTATTTTGCTGTTGTAACACCAAAAGTTCCAATCCTCAACTGTAATGAATAAAACTAGTTTATGGCACCTTAATATGCGTTTTATTATCAAAATTTCTTACGATCACGTAACCTATATGTTTTTAACTAATAAATAAAAATGTATTATTTAATACAAAGTCGTTAGAGTGCTCGGAAGTCGCTTAAGTGTTTAACTTTTTGAAGTGGAACTTGTTTACGCGCATTGGAGTAAAAATTGAAGGCCGGGACAAATGAGCTAGGATCAGGAAAAGTGGTAACGATCGAATTTGTCGATAACGATAAAGATCTCCGTCATTGTCAAGCCCCATTTTTTCATAATATTTTGACGTTTCGTGCACTACGAAACCCGATCATCAATGAATCAAATAAAAAAAAGTCCGATTAAAATAAAATTTTGTATATCAATAGATTGGAAGGCCAACTTAACCGTGTATGACACGTGTCACTGTGACAGTTAGTTATGACGTAAGAAACCTCGAAAGTTGATGTCGTCCGATCCCGATCAAATTTGGTGTGTAAGCTATGTGACCGACGATGCACACTGTCCCACCCTGCAAAGTTGGACACGACGTTTCGTTTACATCTTCATCAGGGTGGGA